AAAACTTAACATTTACTCATGCTTGAACTCAGATCACCAGTGGATTAAAAATAGGCTTTCTGTATTTTGTATTACCTTGGTGAAGAGCAAATATGTTTCAAAGCTTAAATAGGCATAGCTTGCTCAACAAAGAGATCTAAGTTAGGCAACCCAGAACACAAAAGATTGGTCAAAATGATGGTTTGGTTTCCTGAATTCTTCTCATGTAAATTTAAATGTATAAAATTTTTAAAAATAAACTCATTCAGAAAAGCTAAGGGTCATTTTTCTCTTTTTTCTTTGAAAACTAAGGGAGGCTTAATGGCTACTAATTTTCATGCATTGTAATACTTTGTCAGTATTTTATCAATGTTTTTATCGGCTGAATTAGCTCAGCTACTAAATTTGGGCTAAACCCCATTGTTAAATTTATATTGTATTGGTATGTCAATAAAATGTACAGTAATAAAATAATAGATGTTTTTACATTGCTTTATTTTAGAAAATTCTGCCGTTGCGTATAAACTTCTAAGAGACTTATAAAAATACTAGAGATGTTGTCTCATTACTAAAGCTGTGTGTTTGATTGTAATTTTAGACTTAGTTGGTGTGTGAATTAGACATAAATTCAAAATGATTACTGATTTGGATGTTGGATTGTGATCAGCTATCTTTCTTTTGGAGAACATGTTTTGTTTATGGTACCGGTACTTAGCTGGTATGCATCAATGAACATTTTCTTTCCGCTTCAAACTTTAACACCAGATTAATTTAACTATGTATGTAACTAGAGTTAACATGCAACACCACTGGTCCTTCAATAAATGTATTTGATGTTTATTTAAAGACTTTAAAGAGCAAAATGAAAATGGTAAACTTTGTATCAGCTGTAGTATTGTGTAAACCTATAGCTTTCAGTACCCGGTACAAGTACAATATTAAACGGTACAATTTGAAAATATTAAATGCCCTCAGAAAAGGGTGATAACTACCAAAGAAAAGGAGCTAAAATGCTGTTTGGTGCACATACCTTGGTCTCAGACTTAAGTAATCTTTCTTAAGTAAAGAGTAGATATAAATTAAAATCCAATGAAAATGACATCCACCCTGGATGACATTTTTCACACTGCTTACTTGTATCACCCTCCCTTGTTGATGACTTTGTTGATAGTCCTCTATCTTTAATAAGTTAATGTCTAATACAGTATGATATACTTTCAATGCAGATATACCAAAAGATAAAACCATTTGCGTATTGCACGTACAGAATTTATTAAGAACTGGATGATTTTATATTCTTTATAATGAACAGTCTTAAAAAGAATTTTACATACATTAATATTATCATAATAATAATTACACAATACAAAAAAAACATGCAAATACACCTAACAGGGCATATTAATTTATGACCATTAATTTTAAGTGCACAACAAAGCTAAGGATGAGTACAGCTTATTATAAGTGTAAGCTCAACAAAAAATATTTTTGGACAGATTATGAGGTACGGGGTAATGAGCTAGGAAGAAATGCTACTCCTTAACTTGAATAAATATTTTGAAAAATAAAAAAGAGATTTCACATTTCTTTTAGAACAAACCTATTTCAATGTACATTTTTTAATAGTATGACAATAAGCCTTTTTGCTACTTTAAATGTATTTATTTACTTAATGTAGGGTAGTAGAGAGATTGTGAAGCGATTTGGAAACAAATGTAATAATTAAAAAAAAAAAGAAATCAAGGCTTCTCAAACTTAGCAATTCTGTGATAATAAAAGCTACCATTACCATGTGGATAACTGGGATGTCTTTGATAATAGATAAACTTTTCTAAGAGTTTATACTAATGAGCCACAGTGCAAAATTAACACTTTTGTCTAGTCACACAGTTCAATAATAAACTATTCACATTGACAGTAATTCACAGAAAATTAATTTGTTAAATTTTATCTTTTGAATGATAACTAGAAGATGTTTAAGTTGTTTTTTAAAACTTGTGATTTTATATCTACTTTTACTGAGGATGTGAAAGATGTACAACACAAATAATATTTACACTATTTATATTCTAATGAGAACTAGATTTACATTGTTTTAATGTATTTGGCACTTGATCAGTGACAATTCGATACTCCATACTTAAGAAAAAATTTGAAATAAAACTTTTGATTTTTAAATATTTGTAAAAACCAACAAAAAAAAATCTCTACCAACTAGTCAATGGCAAACTTATCTTAATTTAAATTTGGAACTAATAGACATTCAATCACCTATTAACACTCTAGATAGACTTCTATTTTAAATGCACTTGCTAAATAGCTATTATTTACAAAACCAACAGACAACTACACTATGACTAAAAACAGATAATTATAAAATCTATTTTCACAACTAAATTTTAAAAGAAAATTGGGTAGGACCTCTTAGAGTATTATTTTTTTATTTATGAGGAGAAAAGAGCAATAGAGGTTGTTAGGTTTTTATATCATTGTTTGAAGCCATTTGCTTGGCTAAGTAAGCATGGATTGTATGAATTGAAAGGAAATAATTCAGATTGAAAGTATATTACTTTTTAAACAATTAGTATTATTATTTTTTGTTTAATTAGCCCTACTCAACTTACTGGAGTCGAATTTAGAAACATTAAACAAGAATTAGGAACTACTCAAGAGGGCAAAAAGTGTCCCTGGCATGTTACTCTGTTTTACAGTAATTTGGACTTAACCTTTTAGCCTAGGTAGTCAACTCAGACAACATCATTTCTACTGTATGCTGAAATTCAAAGGCTCTCAGGGGTGAATTAAAATTTTTAATGTAGGCTATATTAATTTTGTTATTAGAGACAAAGCTGAAACAAATCTCAAAACTTCATAGACGTTGACCCTGCAATAAAACACAAACTTTCCTGTCTTTATTCTATATACATATCAGACACTTCTATTGAATGTAGGGTAAAAACAACAACAATCAATAAATTGATCATTCAACAAAAGATTTCATGTGAGATCTTAAAAAAAAAAATAAATATTAATTTAAATCAATCAGCCACACAGATAATAATTGGTCCCATGTCATTTTTTTTATTAGCTCATGGTAAAGGATCATAGAAACAAAAGCAGTTGTTTGGGATAAATATTCTTTTGCAATTCCATATCTTATATTCTTTCTGAGGTATGAAAAATTATTTGCATAGAATTTAAAAAACAAAATTGCATTATGATAATTTGTGCATTGAAATTTTAAGAATTTAAAGAAAAATACAATAAAATTGAACATTAAAAAAACATAGATCTAGAAAATTAATTGTAGTTAAATTTTTTTTAAAATGTGATGAAACTGAAACCTGCATTCATAAATAAAAAAATTGAATAATCAAGCAAAATAATTTAAAAATAATATCTGACAACTATAATTAAAATGAATACTTAATGTTTTACGTATGAAAGGGCAGTCAAGTGCAATGTAGTTTTGGTAATTACTTTTTAAATCTCCACTCATTTCATTTAAGGCCATTATTTAGGTTCTCGCTCTTTTTAAAGTTTAAAGCATCTTTCAAATAAATTTTACAATGGTTTGTTAGTTTAAAAAATTGCTTATTCTAATTATCTTTTTAATTAGTATAAAATACTATTTTTCAAAAAGTACTTTTCATTTATAATTTCTATTTAGTTAAGTTGATACCATTTAAAAGCAGAAAAATTATTAGAATCTAATTGATTTTATGAAGTGCTTTATATCTGAGTCCATGCATAAAGTCATTCTGAACAAAATAAATGTATCCAAAGAAAGACAAAGCAATGTTCAATGTTGATCCCATGTAATTTTTCTTTTCTACTTTGAAAAAAAGATTAAAAATGTTGTAAAGGAGAAGAGATTGAAAATATAAGTTATCTTCCTATCCATAGTATTTACATTATAATAAATTCATTTCTGTCAAACAATAGTCAATTGTAGCCAAGTTTGAAATTGGATAAATTTTAAGCCTAAGTCCATGAAACTGCAGTGGTATCTGAAATCTAAATCAAACATTGTATTCATTTTGCATATTAAATGATAAAATATATCCACCCAGCACCATAGTAGCACACTGGTTTTGCTATTTCACTACAAGAAAGGTAACATTTAAAATAAACAAATAAGAAAAATATCATGTTATGGCTTGTTTTTTTTTTCAAAAATAAAAATAGATAAATTCAAAGTATTGTTAAGTGAGTTATGATGAAAAAGATATTTAGAAAAATAGGTATGTGTTTAGCTTAACCCCCAGATCTGCTTGCACGATGAATCAAGTATAAAAATGCTCATGATGGTCATAACCAGAAAATTTAAAGCATTAGGAGAAGCACAAAGGCTGACCCATTACTGGGCCAAACGATTTAACTATTGTTCAATGATGTTTCTTCTTTCTTCCTAAATTTAAACTTTAAAATGAATTTTGGTTTAATAAAATTTGAAGGCAAGTTTTGAATTCTTTTTATCAGTTGGGTGTGGTACCCAATAGGACACAGGGTGGGCAGAGAGGGGAGCAGCAGGGGTGGGTGGAGATGGAAGTAGGTAGGAGTTTGGAGTCAGTTGTCAATTTAATTTAAGAACAAAACAAGTTGTAAAGCTTGACCCATAAACAGTGCCAGTTCAAAAAATGGTCTTAAGAACATCTGTGAAACCCTGTCATTAAACTGCATCACACAGTTTTTTCAAATCTTTCAAACTTAATTCACATGTAAGATTGCATTATGATATAAGCAAGTTCATTTGCTCTCATGCCAAGATTTTGACAAATCTCATGTAAGCATGATTAATTTAACATTAACTTGTCATTTTTTTTTTCTCTATAAAACTTCCACAGCATTGCAAAATAAGTATCCAATTTATTAAATTAAATTTCAGATGACTTAAAGGACAAAAGCCTGTAGTTTACATGTGACAAACATGTATGACCTTGCTTAGGAACATGCAAACTGGTCAAAAAGCCAGATCACATTAAATATAGTACAATGAGACTCGCAAAATCTTACTTCTTGGGGACTCAAGTTATCTTATAAGCTTACTTAGGACAATAATTTTAATCTATTAGCCATCGAGAAAATCCCTTTTGTTTTTTATGTTCTGAAAATGTTTTTATCATCAAAATACTATTACAATAAGTTTTAGAGAAATAGAACCATCAAATACAATAAAAAATATTTTAAAAAATCAGTGTTTTAGTGGTTTGATCAATTATTTACAGAAAGTGTAGAACAAAGCTGATAATATTATGCTAAAAGCAGACTTTCTAATAACTTTCAAGAATAAATTCATTAACTCCCAAAAACCATTTTCTGATGTTAATTTCATCAAAGAATATCACAGCCCAATTCAGATGATAGGTACACTAACCATGATGATTTTGCTAGTCAAAGAATACAACTCTTTGAAAGCAGATTAACTGCAATTTATTTTTTGTGGTGAAGTAATAATGAAAACCCAGGAATAACAGACCTGCTTTAAAAATAACTTTTCGAGAATATAATGAACTCATTTGACCCATGATAATGAATGAATTTGTCAGGAGACACATTCACTCTAACCCGATTAACAGCAATTGTGGAGTTTGGTATATCTGTTGAAGTTAATTTGTAGATATTTTTATTATGATTGACAACTCTTTTTAATCAAGTAATTATGAATGATTAAGCTATTTTTATTACAAATTATTGACATCAATCTTTTTATTTTTGTGAGTGCGTTGGGGTAGCATAGCCAGCTGCTTAAACCAAAAGAAGTTCTTCGTCTGGCATATGCAAAGTCTAACATAAACGCCAGATGTTTTTTTGATATAACACTACATTGTTCACATAAAGACCGGCAAGGCCCCTAGGCAATCAAAACCCAAGTAATCCAGATCCGTAACTTCGATAGATATCACAACTGACAAATGATACGTCTTTATGTTTCAGATTTTTTTTCAGTCACTTATTCACTGACTCAATTAACTTACATACTTTTTATTTCTTTTCATCAAAAGATAACAGTCTCTCAAAATCTTCGTGTTGATGATTAAAGTTTATTGTTTAATTTGTTATTTATCGAGATTTATGAGATGCCCACCATTACATGTTCCACATCTTAAGTCCACCCAAATACACTAGGATCCATTGTCGTGGGGCTCCTAAAAAGGTGTTTCTACTTTTCCATTAGGTTAATCTGGTATTGAGACTGGCCATTAGACTGGAAAATTTTGCACATGACTTATTTGGTTTGTTGTGTACTGGGTTCTTTGAAAAAAAATTAATTGAGGAAAACTAAGGACTAATCACTATGAGATTTTTTTGTTCAGTTGATTTATACAGAAAAATTTAAAATAAGATAAAATAACCATAAAAAAAGTGTGTTCCCTTTTAAGTATAACAAGTGTAATGCAGCAAAAATGAGCAAAGGGAAAGAATGTAAAAATTTATGGACTAACGCTTGATGAAGCTTTAATAAATGTAAATAGTTAAAAAATCTGACAATTCTGCATTTACATGATAAATCAAATAAGGCAGTTTTAAAAAATCAAAACATTTAACGTTTGGAAACGGTATTTCAATAAATAAGAGATTAACTAAAAATGCACCATGTTCATCACAACTTGTGCAACACTAATACATCATCAACAAAAATAATACTGTTCAATGTAACATTACATAAAAGAACTGCTATTGCATATTTCAATGAGGCACTTCACTAAAGGCACAAAACTTTCTCAAAATTGGTTATTAAAAAACCCATTAAAAAAACTTTAAATATTTTAAAACAGTTTTTTTTTTTTTATAAATAAAAAAAAAAGGACAATCCTGAAAGACTCCATCCATATATTGCTTCTTGTATCGTAATAAATAAATGAAACAAAAAAATTAGATAAAAAAAAAAAAACTATATAAAAATAAGTTATTAAAAAAACCATTAAAAAAACTTTAAAAATTTTAAAACAGTTTTTTTTTTTTTATAAATAAAAAAAAAAGGACAATCCTGAAAGACTCCATCCATATATTGCTTCTTGTATCGTAATAAATAAATGAGACAAAGAAATTAGAGCACATCAAATTTCCTCACACAGTCCAACAGTAAAATAAAGCACCATCAAATATTGTCCGCATATCCCCCAAGAAAAGGAAACAAAACAAAAAAAATAATTTTTTAAAGAACTTGTTTTACTCCATTTTCAATATTTGGATTAAACAGTATAATTTTTTTAATCATGGAGCTTAAGAGCTTTGTAACAAAAGTAATTTATGCATGTTAATTTCTCAAATAATCATGTTAAATGAAAGAAAAAGTTCACAATTTACTTGATGTATACCTTGCCCTACTGTACGACTGGAAAGTACTTTACTGTTGGTGTAAATAAAAAAAACGAAAGGATACAAGAAGCTATGGATGCAGTAGTAACATAAGAAATACTTTAATAAAGTAAATGGCTGTTCCTGTGTTTTTTCATACATAGGACAGAGCAAACTACTTCTTAAGTAATGAATAAAATTCAGCCTTTTATTTTAGTATAGAATCTACAATATTTTCATTAATATTGGGAGTTTCAAAGTTCCCTTTTCCACATTTATTATTTTTTTTTTTTACCGTACAAGAAACAATAATACATAATTAAAAACGTATCTTCTTCACATTAAGATTACTGTTAAGAGACAATATGTAAGTAAACAAATTCAAATGAACAGTTGTATTTCAAGTCCTACCAAACACACCTTTAATTGTCATTTTACTTTGCTTAAAATTTAAAAAAATTTTTTTTAGATTTATCTTTTTCTGCCCAGTTTGAGATCTAATAGTAATAACAGCAAAAGGGGAATTCGTTTGGGTTTTATCCAAGTTTCAAATCATTTAATTAAAAGAATTTTTTTTTATCATCCACTGAAATAAAAAATTCAGTTTTTTGCAAATTTATATGGAAATAAGAGAACCATGTTATGTGATTTATGTACATATTTTGTTTGTTATGCAAATAATGCACTATAGTCAGCACAAAAAAAGGGTATAATATTGAGGAATTCAGAGGGAAAACAAAGAAAGATGTGGGAATGGGACATTATATTGTTGTTAGGCACTTGATTATTGCTAGTCTTTATGGTACATCATTCTTTAGGATACATGTCGGTACGAAACCGTATCAAGTTATGAAATACTAGATTGAAAGTATAGCAAATAAAAAAGCATATTATGTATTAAGTAAAAAGGTAACATTTTTATGCATTAAAGATGTTTGAGGTTTTAGCAGAATGAGTACTTTTGTATAGTGATGCTTTAAAAAAGGCACTGCTTTGAAAAGTTTTAGAGTGTTGGACTGCGATAAAGCTTTAAAATAGAGTAATTAGACATGAACAATTTGTATCAATATAACAATATTGTTAAGCTTTAATAATAATTTTACATAATACACAATTCTATAACTTAGTTTTCTATTGTAAACCTAACAGTTAATGAGATTCTAGTTTTCCATATAAATGTAAAGTACTTCTTATAATTAATTCACAACCATTGCTATTTAACTCAGGATTTCATCAAATGCAATTGGAAAAATGTTACATGAAAATTAAATTAAATTTGAATGAAATTAACATGATTCCACTGAGCCAGAACTAAGCTTTCTCTCCCTTGGCTCCTTGGTTGTGAAGGTAAAGTGTTTCCTCTTGGATGAAGCTGGGGCTGAGTTGATTCTGTTGAGTTGGGTTGAAGATTTGGCTTGGGTTCCGTCTCTTGCTTGAACGTGCTCCTGCCTAGCCTCCATTAAAGCCTTTGTGGCACTGTGATCGATGAGAACATAACGCAACTTGGCATAGTCTTTCTCTTTCTTCTGCTGCACACGCTTGCTCCTCCGGACGTAAGCTGGGGGCCGCGAGGGAGTCGCTGCAGACCGAGTTTTGGTCATATCCACCTCAATATAGTTCAGCTCTTGTTCCTCATCGGATAAGGGTAAGACCTCATCAGTTTCTGATGGAGAAGAGGTAACTGCTGGGGAGGGCAGTGGTATTGGTGGCATAAGAGGCTCTCGTGGTGGAAGAGCGGGCAGCATGGCAGGTGGAGAGGGAGCATAGTAAGATGGGGGAGAGTCCGAAATATCTGAACTGGAAGAACTTCTGGAAGACAGAGGTGAGGACGATGAGGTATGTCTTCTGGGTATAAGAGGTGGAGGTGGATAACTATTGCTGCCATAGCTGAGAGAATTTAATGAAGATTTTGTTCCAGGGGAATGTAGATTCTCATCAGTTGAATGTACTTCATTTGATGGAATTATCAATTCTGAAATATTAGGTAAGAGGGAAAGGTGACCTGTAAGTGGAGTATAAGACACTGTGGTAGCATGAGCTGAAGAGGAAGCCACAGCTGCCGCAGCATTAAATGTGTCAATATTTTTGTATCCACTTGATTTCAGTTGAGGAATTTGCAGCCTGTGCCCTACTGAATCACTGGGTTCAGTTTCAGGTAACCGACAAGAATTCACAACTGAATCCAAACTTTGTCCTTCAACTTTAACCTCGGTGCACTGAAGCCTTCTCCTAGAGATTATACTTGAATTAGCAAACTTATCATATTCCTGTTTGTGCACTTTACTAGAGTGGCCCACAATGGGTTCTTTGGGCACATGCCCAGTGATGGGTTGTTTAGGCGGTAGACTTAACACTGGCTTCTCTCCTTTCTCAAGCCTCTTAGGATCAGAGTGAGATCTTTGAACATTTACAGGCAGGGACAACACCTGGGAGCTCCTCCTTGGTGGAAGACTAAACGAATTCTTCTCAAGTTTCGTGGCATCAGATTCTGAATGTCTGGTGTTACAACTAACTCTATTGGTTGGGCGACTAGCATGAGAGTCACTGGAAGAGGTATGTTTTGGGGAAAAAAATAGGGTCATCAAAGAATGCACACCAGCCTTAATGGGTGAGGTGCTAGAGTGACTACTACTTGTGCTGGATGACCTAATGCTTGGAGACGTACTGTGCTGTTTGGGAATATACTCTTGGTTAACATAGATAGGATAATGCAAATGAATGCTTGGAGATGGTTGATGATATGGTGATGGTGGTTGGGATGAGGTGTCCGAACGATCCCTAGGAAAGAATATGCTGTCCTCTATAGTGTTAGAATGTGATGATAGTTGTTCATCTGTGAGGTAAGGCTGTAGCTGGGGCATCACAGTGTGAGGAGAGGAACACGGGGACGACACAGCAGTTGTTATATGTTTTAGGGGATGGGGGTGCCTTTGCAGAGAGTTTCGGCTACTATGGTCTCTGTCCCAAGCATCACAATGAAAACTGTTACAGGATCTGGTGGTGTCTGCCATGCTGGAGAAGTTCGGAGAGTGCTGGGGCGAGGACTGCAAGGATGAGAAATGAGATAGGGTTTCAAAGTGAGGATCAAAATTAAACACTTTACTGGGGGGTGAGGGCATTTCCTGGCCTGTGTGTGGAAGTCTGAGTATCCGTTGTATGAGAACATATTCTTGCCCCGAACGAGGCCGTAGCACTGTTTTAGCTGGACTAGAACATTGACCGCTGCTTTCTGACAGGTGTTGAGAAGTTGCCAACCCTTGTGACCAAGATAAAGGGCGAGTTGTGTACCTTTCTGTATTAGCTATATTCCCCTGATTTGGTGTAACTTCTATGGGTAATGTAACAGTTGTGTAGTTGAGCTGGTCCATATTCTCATTTTCATTTTCTACATCTGATGATAATCTCCCTGAAACGAGGGATGAGAAATGAGATAATATTTTTGATTAAGCTACAAAAAGCATAACTTTAAAAAATTTGTTCTTAGGATAACAGTTGTGATGTGGTCAAGTTATTAAAAGTTTATTTTTATATATGCATGGCATTTTTTAAAAAAAAGACCCCCGAAAAAAAAAAAAAATAAATAAAAAGCATGCATTATTTATTAAGAAATATATAATTAAAATCTATGCTCGCTAGAGAAATACCCATCAATAAATAATAACGTTTTGATATAAGAGTATACAGTTCAAAGCGTCACAGCTCTTGAAATAATTCAATAAAAAAATTAAAGGCTATTTCCAGATGATCTCTTGGTAGCAAGTAAATGCTGAGTAAAAAAAATAATTTATGGAATAAGCAGTTCCTAAATTCACACAAAGCACAATGCAAACAGGTACCCAAAAGAAAGAAAAACAACTCATAAAATAATATTTTAAAAAGCATGCCAACTGAAAAATAAAGTCATTAGACTATGTAATTTGGTAGTGTTTTTAAACATCATGCAAAATTTAAACATGTATATCTAAGAAATATACACCATACTTTTTGTTTAGAGCAACAAATTTACTACTTAGGTAACTGAAAATCATACACAAGTAGAATTTTGCATTCTCATACGCTTATACAAGATTTTTTTTCTTTTAACAAAAGAGCTTTTTAAAGCATTCATGGTTCTTACAAATGTTTAACACATGCTTAGGAAAAACACAGAGATAATTATGTTATAAGCCTTCAGAGCAACATCTGTCAATGTTTTTTTTTTTTATCCTCTTAACAAGATAAACATTGCAAACACAGCAAGAAATCCCTTCTTGTTTTAGTTCTACCAATAATCTCATGAGCCTATCTGGGTGTGGTCAAGCTCAAACCTATCATATTTCCCTGCTGCACTGGTAAACTGCTCTGCTTTACATAACAGAGAAATGATTGTGTGTAATTAAGTGGATTAAAATATAATTGAGATAAATAATAATTAGGCTAGTCATTTCATCCACACTTCTTTAAAAATAAAATGTGATATTACAACTGCTAGATTTTAAATAAAATGCAATAAAAATAGCCCATGACAAAATGATTCTGTTACCCCACACATCATTTTATAGGAGAATTTCATAAAAATAAAAGGGCAAAAATGAAAAAAAATAAAGTTATAAGTTGCCTTTTGAAAATGAAAAAAATAAATGGCATAGAAAACATTAAGCATAATAACAAGTAACAGCTGCATAAAATAATATGGTATTAACACACCCATATTTCCTAAAAAAACCATATGTAATTAATTCAAATCCTTTCTTCAGCCAATATAAATGGTCAAATGCTTATACATTTTTTTAAGGATTCATAGCTTAGAAATAAAAGTTTAAAAAAATATATTGAATTATATTGTGTGTGAGACAATGTATTAACATATATTAATGTAATAATTTTGGTTACGTCTTGCAAGCAAAATATCAAGCACTTGTAGGAAAAATAATAATATTTTTAACATGTAAAGGATGTAGACACTATGAGGAGCTAAGAAATTATTTTATGCTTCAAGACTCCCATCCCAACTAAACAAAATAAGTCTGCAAATTCATCTTGAAAATATCTAGGTACTCAGTTATAATATATATATATATATATATATATATATATATATATATATATATATATATATATATATATATATATATATATATATACAAATATATATATAAAAAAAGACTATAAATATATATTTAAAATATATATATACACAGATATAATATATATATATATATATATATATATATATATATATATATATATATATATATATATATATATAAATATAAACATATACATACAAAAATATATTAATAAACATGCATCTAAGCTTATTGCAACATAGTAGAAAAAAATGCAACTAAATATGAAATTATGTACATGACACTTTATACTTAAAAGTGCAGTTGTTAGTAAATTTTGAAATGAAGAAAACAAAAACAAAACCAAACAAAAAGTTGAATAGTTAATAACAATGTCACATTAATGCAAATGAGATGTGAGAATGATAAGGTAGAAATGGTAACAACATGAAACATTCTAAATAAACCGTGTAGATTAATTTGGTAGAAATGGCATGATAGACTATGGATTTAGAAGCAAAAAACCAAACATGCATTTACTTCATTAATCTTGTTGAGGCAGGAGATATTTAACCATTCAGTTATTTTAAATACAGGTCATCCTCATTGTGTCATGATGCTTAAAAGAAAACCAGAAATATACCTTCTTCCCTGCACCTGCCTTCTTTGGAAACAAAATTAGTTCGCCATCTATCTCCTGGTCACTCTTAGCACCATCAGCATTTTCTATCCCCTGGTTGGAAGTTCTTTCAGAGCTAGGAACGGCTTCTATTTCATCCAGATCTACGTACAAAGGCTCACTGAATGATGGTAGTGGAGGGGCTGTTTCTATGACTGGAGACAATGGACCCTGGTAGGATTTAGTTTTAGGTGGTAAGGAAGGAGGAGAATGTTCTTCCCGGTTGTCCAGTGAGAATGAGGAAGATGGTAGTGAGCTGTGTCTAGATGAGTTAGTCCCTTCATTATAAGGTGACACTTGGCATTTGGAACTGGTAGACTCGGCAGAATTGGAGCAGACAAGCTTTTCAAAACTGAACCGTCTCTCTGTGCGGTGAGATGTTTTGGGAAATTTCAAATACAAACCTTGTTCACAGTCTTTGTTGTTTTTTTTTAGATCGAGAGACGATGATCTTTGGTAAACTACAGGTTTCTTCTGACTGTGCTTTAGTTGAATCATTTCAATCAATTTCTCATCATCCGTTTTGGATGAATCTGCTGCCTTAGATGGTGTCTTGCAGATCTGCATGTATGGGTTCACAGGGTTGGGATTATCGTGATGGACATGCAGCACTGTGATGGTTCTGCTGTCAAACCTCTTCTCCCCTCTCTTCAACAAGGGAGACATGTCAGAATCATCTGAGAAATCTTGAATAGAAGAGGAGCTTTCACTCTGATCAGTGTGCTTCATGGTTTGCTTGGGCCTGGATGAACCTGAGGAAAAACTGCTGGATGAAGATCCTGCTTGGCTGGTGACGGGCACCCCATTTCCATCTAGTGATTCTTGATAGCTCAGTCTATTAGGAAAACTTGATGACCTCCTCCTGCCCAGTTTTAATTTGGATGTTTTTTCATCTTTGGCTGCTTTTGAGCTTTCATGTTCTGACATGCTTCGTTCTAGAACACTGTTCCTGTTTTTACTCGATTTGTCTTGAGGCAGTGGAGCATTTTTGTCTTTGGAACTCCGCCTTTTGAATCTTGCCAAGAATCCTTCCTTGGAAGGCTCTGGTAGAGGGACTTCTCTACTGGTGAGATAGGCTTCTTGTGCCACCAAGGCTTTTTCAGATTCTATCAATGTGTTGACATAAGTTGACCTGCTCTCTGACATTTTCTTGGTAAATTCTATCAAGTTTGGGAACGGCGTTGATGCCCCTTGGTTGGGATCCTTTGTCTTCTTAGCTTTAGTGTAAACTTTAGTCGGGCTCTTCAAAGGCTTAGGTTTGTTTTGCTCCATTCCATTTTCACTTGTGGACTCATTTGCTTTGGTGGGTAAAACCCCGCTATCAGAATTGTGTCTTATCTTAAGTGATGTGGGGTGGGGAGGATGAGGGGGTGGAGGTGGGGGAGCATCTCTTGGTCGGGGTGATGCCTTGGTAACATCCCACCCAGGTGTTTTGCATACGTAGGTTTGCAGTGTCTCTAAATTTTGCACAACAACACTCTTCCTGTTGGAGACACTGGCCATTTCCATATAGGTACTCTCGCCCAATACCTTAGGATCATTACTGGAGGGCGGCAGCTTTAAGTCAGCTTCAGAAATATACAAGTCTCTGTTTAGGTGGTTCTGAGCAGCATCTACATCTAAATAGATATCATCTTCCCCTCCCTCTGACCCAATGATGCCCATGTCCATGTAGTCATTTCTAGTCGGTAGATTCAATGAGGTGACATGTTGAGCTTTTGGGCCATGTGTAGTTGTGCTCCTGTTGGTGTAGGACTTGAATGGGGATTGAGTAACAGTAGACAGTTTGTGCTGCACTTTTGGACTGCCCATCATGCAGTAGTTGTCCTCTTTTGTGTCCGGCTTCCTTTCTTTTTCCAAATCACTGCAATTTTGTCTGGGGTGATTATTGTAACCAAAGTGGTTCTTGACAGACAAATCTTGAGTGTTTTTTTCAGAGTGATGTCTTGGACACACAAAGGGCGGAGACTGAGACAGGTCCTGGTGATTAGATGTTGAATGCTTGAAAGCTGTAGTGGAGTTTTTGGAGGCAGCCGCTTTCAGTTTTTTAAGCAGAGCAGGACCCTTGGGAGGCAGTTCTGGAGGTGCAATATCATCTCTTCTAACTGGTAAATTCTCATACAGGTCTTCTTGATTGATCCTTTTCTCTTCCCTGAATGGTCTTGCAGAGTCAGAAGTTAAAATACTAATAAGATCTGAACTGGACTTGCTAGGTCCATCTGGCACCATGCACTGCAAAGAGGCATATATAATAGGCTCAGAAGATTGGGATTCATCCATATTAACAATAAGGATCTCTTGGTGTTCATTCTGTTGAGAGTTCCCTTGCATACAAAGCACTGATCCAGAATCTTGTGGCAGCCTAGGTAATGCCCTCTCTGCCATCCTTTGTCCTGAAGAGTACTGATGGTCAGCAAATGAATGGTTGAGATTGATCAAACTGGATGCCGGGGCTGGACAGTTAAGGCTGGTCAAACTGCTATGAACCCGAAGTCTTACATTTTTCTCATTTAAACCAAGCAAACTCTGACCACAGGCTACGGGAATACAATCTGCACTACCCGGGAGATGTACATGGCTGTTGGATTCATCATCATATTTACTCAAGTTAACATATGGCAGTGGTGCATTGAGACGTGAATTAGGGGGTAAGTTATTTAACTTGGCTTGAAATATAGGACTTATGGGTGTGCCCTCTGGCATACTTGTATTGAGTCGCAGTGCTGTTGCCCTATCCATTTTTTTGGGAGTGCTGGCCTGATCAAGCCTCAGTTTTAAAGGGGAAATATTGCCCGATATGATGGTCAGATTCTGGTCCATCCCTGTCAGAAATGATCGATTTATATTTTTAGTTTCTGACCCACTCTTGAGGGTTACTGTATTTTCTGGTTCTTTCCTCTGTTCCCCAGAATTAAACTCCTGACTTTTCGCTGCACAATTCTGTAAAATCTCATCCAACAAAACCATTTCTCTCTGCAAATCTGACTCCTGCATTTTCAAACGTTGAAGTGATTCCTCATGTGAATCATGGGCGCTTGAATCATTGTGCTGCCAGCTCTTAGCTACCATTTCCTCCACACTGCTTACTTTAAGATCAAAGAACTCAGCACTTGCACTCTGGCGTTTCTGAAACAGGATCTGCCTGTGCTCCTCTTTATTGCCATACTCATTTTCTTTTTTCCTCGGGACAATTTTCTTATAATTACCATTTTCGTTATTTGAGTTTTTACAGCTGCTCCATGTTCCTTGATCTGGGTCATTCCTTGGAACTGCATAATTTGGTTCTTCCGAAGAATCCTGGAAATAGTGCTCCAACATTCTTCCATGGTTGGGGGGCACATCGTAGATGCCAATGAACTGATCTCTGTTGTCCAGGTAGCCCTTGTCCCTCAGCACAGCGATGCGGTGGTGATCCATGACACTAACCGAGTGCCTCTTGTACCAACTCCAATCTTCAGACTCAGAACTGCCAGTCTGGTTATCATGGCAGCAGTTAAGGGTGACAGGCAGTACCCCTGCAGGGGGGGTCCTCACAACAATGTTTTGATGAGGATGATGAATAGATAAGGATGAAGGAGAGGGTGACATGTTGGTTATGAGGTGATTACTGAAGTCAATCTGTGAGCCTGCAATGTGGAAACACACACAAAAACACTAAGGGTGATTATTATATCATTATTAAGTGTTGGAAGCCATCAATTCTATATTTTCCATTTGAAGGTTATATTTTGAAAGATTTATATTAAGTTTATTATTAAATCAATGGCCCAAAATGTGACCATATTTAATTATGTTTATATTAAAAGTAAAAACTAAGCACTATTTTTTCTTTTAACACCAAGTTAATATTACGTGGACAGTAACTCAATCCCAAAAATACTATGATACATTTATGTCTACACAGAGCGAGATTCAAATTTATCATTCACTTTAAATGTATGCACCCTAAATGGTCAATGAGATGTAATTGCTAATGGAAAAGACATTAGCCAATACTATGAATTTGGATATGAATATATAGTCTACACTGTTCTTTGCGGGTTAATGATTATCAATAGTGTTACTATATTTCATTTTCTATAAAATGAGGCTAATATATGAATAGATGTATGAAAAAACATTTATATGGGGCACTGTACTTTAAATTAATAATAATAAAACACATTCCAAACATTTTTATCAATAGACTGTTTAATATGAATTTAAAGAGATAAGTACACCATCAGCTTGAATAATGTTAATTTTGACACCCACTCGCTCATATTCACACACTCAATCACATGCTAACACCTTGTACACATCCCATGCACCACCAGCATGCCCGGAACACACTCATCACACACACACTGCAGTAATGGTGATTAAGGAAATCTCTTTTTATTTTTCTATTTTCATAAAAATTCATTCCCTCTTTAGCTTAGATTCCTGCAGACAGACGTCATATTTTTTAGGGTCAGAAAATTAGCTTGTTAATGTCTTGGCAAAAACCCTGTTGTCAGATTATTGGGTAATGACAAAAAATTACCAGCCTGATTAAAAGGTTATCTTGGAAATTGTGTATATATTACATTATTTAAATATTTTTATTTAAAAACACCAAATTTATTAAAGTTATATTTAATTTTGATTTTGCCTTATGTTAAGTTTATAAATATCCCATTCTATTTTTACAAACACCTCAAGAACTTCATAAAAGCGTTTTAAAAAAAATGAAAAAGAGTCCAGATTTTTGGGTACAACTGTGCGAAGTGTCCAAAAATAAATTATCCAGGAGTCAACAATTAATATAAAATTACTACCCAAGATTTGTTAGTATTAAAGGTGTGAATAAAGTTATTTTCTTCATTGATAGAATATCTTAACTATCAATAATGTCTTTAAATAATGTTTGGAAACCATTCAATAAAATGTATGTGCAAAGAAATGCTTGATATTTAAAGAATTGATGAATGTTTTTTTGGGCCAGCAGAAACAAAAATAGTATGAAATAAAAGCTTTCTATCCATTTATATCTAATCACTTTAATACCAAAATTTTTTAAATTAGTTACTATACGTATAATTGATAAATATAAGTTCTAATGAGTTTTCATTTATCGAGTCAAAATATAAACATCATAATAGTTTTATACACATTTTATAGTCGTAATACGTAAAGAGAAAAAAATTTAATTAAAAAATTATTTTTTTTGTGTGCATAATCTAACATTATAGAAAGGCCATTAAAGAAAAGCAAATATCTAGGTTTCAAGTAATTTTTAAAAAAAATGTTTTACACCTTAAAACTGGTTTTAATTGACTTGAAATATTGATTTTAAAAAAAAATTATAAAGAAAAAGGATTTTCCATTAAGTAACACAAACTAAGGATAAACATTTAGCAAAAAGGAATACTTTTTTAGCAATTTAATTATCCTCTTTACTTTTTTTTGGAGTTAAGAGAGTGAAGACAGCACATTTTTTGCTCTAATATTTTACTTAAAAATTAAATTAAGAGATTTTCAATAAATTTAGGCAGCGAGATAATAAAATAAAAGATGAATCAACTTACTTCGGTTCTTAAACTTCCTGTGGCAGTTGGACATTTTGCCAGTTGATGCTAATTTGACAATATCCGCAATGTCTTCTGCCTGCTCAGAATGCAATGCAAAAACCCCAGTTCCTAAAGAAATATTACACATAATGAGAATTAATTGGTTTATATTAAAAGCTGCTTGTAATCATTAGGTACATGTACAAATACATGAACTAATAGTAGTTATACCTAAGATAGAATGCACACAAAAATGTTTAACCAGGAAATTTTTGGAACATTTGATGTTTAAAATAAAATAAAAATTTGATACTTTTAACAAAGTATTACAACTCTACATATTTTCTAAGACTAAGAGATAATAAAAAATAATAATTAAAAGCCCGAAGACAAGAAAGGAAAAAAAGAAAACACATACCTTTCCCACATCGAGTGCCACCTTCAAAGCAAAATTTTCCATCAGTGGCACCAAACCGTCGCAAATCTTCTATATTCCAAGAGAGGAGTATTTTTGGTGGTGCTTGAGCAATAAGACAGAACCTCAAGTCATGAATCATCATTCTAACTTGTTCTTTTGGTAATCTACTATTTGAAGGTGCCTTAACAACAGTAACAGGAAACTGGTTTTCTGATGAAGTAGTAAATAGTGTTCTTTTTTCAAGTTACAGATTATTTTAATTTATCACTATCTGAATAAATATGAGCCATTGACATTGGAACTATGAGCAAGTTTTGTTAACTTTTGAAGACGCAGCTTGATATTAATTTCTCATAAATAATTAAATCAAATATTCAAAATCCTATATTTGTATACCAGTATTACAAAAACTAAAAAGCATTCAAAACAATACTTTACACTAAAAATAATCACATTTAATTTGTTTAAATACCTCCACTTATTAACTCAAAATTTGTAACAAATATATTTAAAATGAAACTCACCTTCTCCTAAGCTTTGTCGTATTCTAATTTCAAATTCAATCATTTTTTCACTAAGGTCAAATGCCATTAGATGGACTTGTTTTTGGCATATAATAGCCAACACATTTGTCTCTCTGTCAAATGGAAAACCAGAATCCAGGCCAAAAAAAGAATCCAAAGCAAAAACAGATTTTGGTTTTGGATCATCTTTTACTACTTCATTTACATCTTTGAACAAAACTACTTGGAGTTGATCTATGGAAAAAAGGGATACGTTAAATGTAAAACATTTCAGTACATGTAGAATTATTTCTAATTTCATTGCCTGAAAACTATTTCCAGAATGCAAGCATTCTACAAAGAATCAAATTTCCTAGCTTTTAAAAATAAATATATATAGCTTTTATAAAAACAAATTAACAGAGGAATAATGGCTTGTAAAAATATCCTTGATAAAATCTTGAAAAAAAGCATGCTTGCTTGTACTTAAAATTGATGTGGGAAATCTAGTTTGAAAATTCTAAATTACATTTTTTAAACATATTTTTTTTTCTCCTTTAATTTATTTATCATTGCTTTTTTGTAATTCCACACTGAATTCAATTTGAAAATAATAAAATCATATGTTACTAAACTTAGATAGTTAATTTACTGTTGTTAAAATTTTGTGAGAAATTACATACAAGTGAATTGCAGGTAAAAGATGGAACATATCAATTTTAATATAACATTTTTAAATTACAATAATTTATTTTTAAGGATGATGCTACAATTGATGTCTTCATCATTAAAGTCAAGGAAAAAGAAGACTCAATTAAAAAAACAATCCCTGCTATCAATGATTGATTATCCAGAAGTACTATAGTAAATATCTTGAATATTTTCAATATTTGTTACATCATACTGAAATTTGCTGATGGTTTTAACTACATATTTTGACTTTTTTTTTTAATATACAGATGCTTCCCATAACAATAAATTTTAAAAAAGCATCACCCTCAATATTGCTATATAAGCAGAAATGTTTTCTACTTTCAATAAAATCTGGATATGCAACATAAAGTTATCACATAGCAATTTGAATATCAGCTTCTTAAATTCCAGGTTGTGTGATGAATGCATTTTTAGATGTTGAGGTGGTTGGTGTAGTGAAGGAGGATCAAACTCAGCTAACAATGATGTGTGCATTAGGAAATTGTATGAAGAGGTTTGGTTACAGATCTAAATTTGTATTGCTATCCCTGTGTTGTGGATGGTATTTAAGAATCTCCTTGTATTTGGAAGAATTTAGTTATAAGGATTCATCCAACTTGACTCAGAGAAAAACTATATATTAACAAATATTTCTGAATTTGGTAATTAAACAGATTAAAAAATGACATAAAACCAAATTTTTGAAACTATATTTATTTATTTATTTAGGCATTTTTATATAGCGCTTATCATAAAGCTCTAAGCGCTTTACAATTATTAAAACATGTAAACTAATTAAATACAAATGAGACACTAGGATAGTAACTACTATTCTATAGAAACAATGAAAACTATATAATTTCATCAAGCTCATCAAAAATAAATGAATAGTGAAAACTTAAAAAAAACATAACCTTTATTATCATCCCACTTAAAAAATGCCATGGAATTCCTAACTCACGTTAATAATAAGTTTATTATAAATTTTATTGAATTAATTATTGTTTTATTTATTAACTTTCAGAGAATGATACAAATTACTATGTTGGGGAAGCTTAAAACTTAGTATCACAGACACAGGAGAAAAATAAGGATGGGATTACGGGGTCAAATGGCAAGCAAAATTTTAGAGAATTACTGCCTTACTTAAAACATATTTTACTTTTAAATGATTACTAGGCCTAGGCTAATTCTTGGGGGAAAAACATAGATTTAATAGAAGTTAACACAAATATAAGAAAATAAGGCTTGGGAAATCAAACTAGGCCACTATACTATAAGTGATGGCCTAAATTTCTTAGACTTAGTCAATGACTAAGTCAGCACTTAAACTTACTTGGTGGCTGACTCACTCAGTGAGTGGAGTAAATGAGTCAGTTTCTCAGTCAGTCAGGGCCAGGGGATTGACATTATTACTCATGACCACAACCAAGGACTAATATGTTATTTATTCATTCAATTAAATTAATCATTATCTTTAATGACTTTGGATTTATAAATATAAATCATCATAATTATTCACTGAATGAATTAATTTCACTATATTTATTTAATAATGTATAAGTTAAATGAGAAGACTCATACTCATACTATACTCATGGATGAAACTTGAAATCATAATTCATTGATTCATTGTAAGTGTAAGTCAATCATGATAAATATATACTAAATACTATGTTGCTAATTATAATAAGTTAAATATTAAATTGTTTGTTTCAGTTTTTATTTATTCACATATTCATTATATTATATGTTTTAAGTTTAAGTTTTAAGTTTAAGCAACATTACTACTACTACTACTACTACTACTACTACTACTATATTGAACATTGTCTACATACTACATTTACTAGCCATTTACTGCTTTTACTTTTACTTACTACACTACATCTAGGTCTAGTTATCTGGCCTGTGCTATTATAATCATAATCAATTACAATTTATTCTGAATGCAAATACATTGAATTGATTGAATATCTGCATGCCATTATTATGTTATAATAGAAAGAAAATTTGTCATTTTATCTTATCGAGAACAGTTAATTCAAACCGCAGTTATTCATTATTTAAAAACAAAACAAATCAAGGAAACAACAACATTAAGTCCAACTTTTTATTTGACTCACCTGCAACTGGGGATGGTTTCTTTAGTACACACCATCGAGGTTTCCACTGCAATATTTAAAATAAAATACGGCATTATTCATATATTATTTCAAAATTTGGAAAAATAACACAAAAGAAATACTTTAATCCAAGTCATACTTTTTTTCCTTCGCGAAACTTTATTTTCCCCTCTACGACTGTTGTTGCAGCGGCCATGTTGGTCCCATGTTCAGCTAATCGTAACAAATTCACCGAGTGTGTTGATTGGCTCAAAAGCTATGCGAGCACTCGCCCTCGTACATTCCTAGGATCCTAGATGGCGCGATTTTTGCACCGAAAGACTCCTTTTGGTGCCTACAAAAGTCTCTTTTTTTACTTCTGCTGTATGAGATGCACAAGATAAGGGCAAAATTACGAAAGCCTAAAAGGAGAATGGTTGAAATTACCCTAATATACCGCCATTTTTTCTTTTCAGCAGTAATATAACCTATTGTATTTTAATTATAGTATAATTATAGTTATTACTCCAGGATTATGATTTAATAGTGCTTAGGCCTTATGCTCATGAAACCATTAACCAATCAAAACACATGAATTTTGCACCGTTTATGGTGGGTTTAGAGAACTAATGATAAAAAAACTAAGGCACAAAAAAAAAACACAAAAAAAACCACCTTGGGGGTGGCATCCATTAATGAGAGCACGTTATTTTGGCTTATTTTTACCCCCCCCCCCCCTTTTTTTTCCCCACCAACCTACAAAAAAAAAAAAAACTATCTGCCATTTGAAACAAAAATTAGAGCCCCTCACCATAAATCATCACAAATTTTTTTGTTTTGTAATTGTATTATTACTAAATTAAATCTTATTAATTGTAACTGGCAACTGTTTTTGCGTGTCGTATCTTTATTATTGTATTTCTCAATGGTATCGTCCTTTGTTGTGCACTGTGTGAACGAGCCATAACTTAAACAAGAGCTTAATTTCTCACAATAGAAGCCAGTGCGTAACAAGATATATACTCATCTTCGTGTCCATCTTAAAGGTCGTTTATATCTCAAACAATATTTCGCTCTTCTTGTACCGGTACTAAGAACTGCAGGCAGTGATGTAATAAGGGGGAGAAAGGTGAACGCAGCGACTGCGCACGCTTTCCCACCGACGTTGCATATTTGGGCTGAACTAATTAATTAAAGAATTTGGAGATTTTCGATTACGGAATAAAATTGTTACTACTAAATTCTAATCAAAATAGCTTCATTTGTTACTACTAAAATAGGCTAATCAAAAGATGCTTTAATTGTTACTACTAAAATAGGCCAATCAAAAGATTGTCAAAATATTATTTAACAAAAGGACTTGATTTATTGCAAGCCCAGTCGTTGACTGAAATGAAATTTTTTTTTTAAAATTAAATAATATATCATTTGTATTCTTATGAGCAAAAGTAATACCCATCTATAAATAATACCTCTTTCTCCATCGAGGAACCCATATTCAAGTACAAGGGCTCCATGTCTTTCTTTTCACTGCTAGGAATACGTGGCGGGCTGGAGCTGTGCATCATTGACAAACGCTTTTTAAGCGTTCAAGATGCGGGCGTTTCGGTCATCTTAGTTTTGGCGTATAGCCTAATGTATTTAATTTGGTCTTCATTATGCCCGAGACCCATTCATTCCTCATAAAGGTTTTATAAGTCCAGGGAGTCCGGGCCGATTCAGTCCCTCGATCCGCCCCTGTGTGGAGGGTACCAGATATATCGGCATTGGGGGGGGGGGGTGGCTGAACCAAGGGAGTGACAGGGCTATAAAAAATTGGAATCAAGCGAAACGGCCCTGTGGGAATGTGTTTATAATGTTTGCCTGTGATGGAAACAATCCAGGAAGGAAAGAAATCTTATCGGGATTGGGGGGGGGGGGTGGCTGAACCAAGGGAGTGACAGGGCTATAAAAAATTGGAATCAAGCGAAACGGCCATGTTGGAATGTGTGTATCATGTTTGCCTGTGATGGAAACAATCCAGGCAGGATAGAAATCGACATTGTTGACATTAGTGAAGTTCGATCGGCCAATCCAGGCTTATTAACAGAAAATGGTGCAAGCTACAATGCAATAATCGCAATTTAAAAGTCCGATTAAAACACTCTGAATGTGGCTTTATGATGAATGAGAAGAGTGCACAACCTTCCAGTAGGTCACCCAGACCGTCCCATGTCCCTTACACCAGTGCTGCGCCAACTGGTGTGCCATGACACACTGATGTGCCGCGAAATGATGCTACTTGGTCATATGCGCTGCAAATACAACAATACAAATTTTGATTCCTCTGACGAGAATCATTGTTTGTCTGAACGAGCTCAATAAAAAATGCAAGGTTGGAGAATTTCTACCATGCTCCGATAAATTAATCAGAAACCCCACCTTTGGCGAGAAAAAGAAATATATGTTTCATGGAATCTAATTACAATAAGAACAATATTTTATGTCGTTGAACTTTACTATTATCTGTACAACACATAACGTTGACGTAGGCTACGCCGTAGCCCTGGGAGCCGGTTACGGAATGGTAACAGAATTTTGATGAAAAGTTTGAATATCTTTTTTTTTTAAATCTGAGGACTTATGGTAACCTTTATAGTTGCGGCTAAATGCCTTCTTCGGCAGACAAAAAGAAAACAAGAACGCAAAAAATAGGTAATTATAAGACATTAAAATTATCTTAATTGTTCCCAGATCACAATGTAGTTATTATTATTATAAGTGGTTTTATATAGCGTGGTACCCCAACCTAGGGCTGGGCTCACCAAGCTGTACATACAATTTAACAAATGTAATCAAAACCTTAAAAAAATAACGAACATACATTTGTATATTAAAAACTATTTACATGTCAAGCAATGGACGACACCTAGCAGCATCGTTTTTCGGTGAGATGGGGAAATCAGTCAGGATAATAGAATTTAAAAAGATGTGTTTTGAGTGCAGTTTTGAAGGCTGTGATGGTCGGTAGACCTATTTTGCGGATGTGTAATGGAAGAGAATTCCATTGTTTGGGGGCACAGAAAGAGAACGATCGTTCAACGTATATTTTTGTGCGAGTCTTGGGGACAGAAAGAATATGCGCGTCTGCGGAGGAGCGAAGCTGTCGAAGGGGTGAATAGACAGAGAGAAGTTCGGTTAGATGGAAAGGGGAGGAATTCGAGAACAGAGAGTTTGTAGTCAATCCGTGCTTGTACAGGGAGCGAATGAAGTGAATGAAGTAGTGGTGTGAGACGTGATCATGTTTTTTTGTTTTTTTTTTATGGCTTTAGAATTATTCTAGCAACTGAGTTTTGAACCTTTTGTAATTTTTCTAAGAAGTGTTTTGGTGAACCTGATAGAAGAGAGTTCAATAGTCAAGAAGAGAGAGAACTAGAGCACAGACTAGGGTTTTTGTTGCACTAACTGTGAGGTATATGCGGATGGACCTGATCTGACGAATAGTGGTGTATGCAGAGCAACAAATGTTAGAGATATGATTATCGAGAGACATGTTGTTAGACAGAATATAACTAAGAGTCCTAGCGGAGAATGTAAACGGTATATCGGAGTTACCTACATGAAATGAAGTGGGGAAAGCTGAGTTAGAGGATGATTTATGATCGTGAATAAGGAGTGCTTCCGGTGTGTCATCGTTAAGTTTCAACTTACTGAGTGTCATCCATGTCATGACATCATCAATGCTCTCCAGCATGGGCGCCCGCAGGTAGGGGCAAGGGGGCACTTGCCCACCCCCCCTGGATTGATTGGATAAAAATTTTTTAGACAAAAATAGACAAAAAATTTATTAAAGTAAAGAGAAAATAAAGAGAAAGTAACTAAGCTGATGTCCTGTCCGTTCGTACACCATACAAATACGCTACAGTAAATTAAAACTATATTAAAACATTACTAAAAATTTTTTGCCCCCCCCCCCTGGAAAGTTAATCGATTTTTTTGCCCCCCCCCCAGAAAGTTTTCTGCGGGCGTCCATGGTAAAGCCCTCTTTGGTGGTAAAGATCCCCTTAGGCCAAGCCAATGTATTCGGTTTCCAGTACAAAGGGGCAAGTATTACAACGGCTTTTTGAACATGGCTTGGGTCTCAATGTGAAAAGGGTATGCTGGAAGTCGACTGTGAACCAGAGGAAATCTCATTTAGCGCAGTTATCGGGAATTTTATTTCGTTAAATCATTGTCATCATATTTCCTTCATCTTTCCCTTGAAAAACATGAAAAAAAAAAACCATTGGGGTGGGTTGGGGGTGGGCGAAAAATTGATTGGCCTAGAATGTGTTGTCATCGGCAAAGAGTCTATAGTCTATGTGAAAAGTTTCAGCTCGATAGGTTGACGGGAAGACGGTCACCTTGCCATTAAAGAATTTAAAAATGAGTTTTGTTCGATCCTGATTTTTTGTTTTTCAAGAGTTGATGGCACCATTACGTGTGATTTAACACCATTAGTGCCGCGCCGCACCATGTCAGCTGAGACCGAGTGTTTTAACACTTTATCAAAATTAATTTATTTGATTTCTGCATCAATATTTATAATAATCATTCATAAAAACAAAAACATATTAGAAATAAGAGTAGCTTAGTTCCTTATTTTTCACCCTCGCTTAATTTAATCAAAGCACATCTATTAGGGTTGTACGGTTGTATTTTCACTTCTCCGAAATTAGAAAACATAAACAGCCGTTGCGTGGATCACAAGGGGAAAAAAGTGGGAGTTGGGGGGGGGGGGCTTGGATACTTGATATGGATTTCACAGTTGTGGTTTCTATTCATTTTAAATGCAGGGGCACAAAACAAAAAATGGCATGTGCCATCGAAAAGTCACTGACTATAATAGTAATATAAGTAAAAAATTAAAATTGGATTAAAAAATAACTTGGGTACTACAACGATGTCTACACCGCGGTTACAACCGGAAGTTACGGTTAGTTTACAATATGGCGGGTGTGTTGACAGGAAAATCTTGGAGAGACTTTTTTGAGAAAAATTCACACTTACCTGCAGCATTTGACAGAGAACATGCAGCTCATGATATAAGCACACCTATTTGCATTTCCATTAAGTCACTGACAGGTCTTCAAAATCCTGTAAGTACATCCAATAATTTTATTAATTGACTTTTTTTGTGTGCAATTAATTTAATAATTTATTTTTTTGTTTGAAATTAATTTAAAATTTTTTTCATTTTAAACCTTGCACCCCCCCCCCCCCC